GGGAGGGGGGCGCGGACATTCTCGTTGCGGACGAGAAGTGAGGAGCAGGAAGAAGAGCGGATCGGGCAGCGGGGAGAGGAGCAGGAAGGGGTGCGCGGAGATTCAGTGCGAATGAACTAAGTACAACACGCAGCAGCAAGTGGACTCTTTCTTTGCCTTGAAAATTACGTTTTCAGACATAGGATATCGCTTTCGTGTCCTGAAAAACGTTTGTCCAGCTCTTGGAAATAAAGTACGTTTTCATAATAAGCAGAAGTTTCCTGTCCAGGAGTAATTTTGGACCAGTGGTTCAGTCTTTAGACCCTGCGTCTGCTTCAGTCGCGCCATTGCTGGAATGAATCTTCAAGAATCACCTTAGTTTGGCTTCGCGCTTTTCCCCTTGTCTTCTTCTTTCAGCGACCTCAAAAACTGACTTTCTTTTGCGGTGAACTGCTCCTGGATTCTTGTCCATCGCAACAAACTTTGTGTGAACTGTGAGGAAGAATAGGTCAAAAAAGCCGCTAAGAACTGTTGCGTTGGTGGAGTAAACAGCGTCTGTGCGTCTTGCGTCTGTGGACTGCGTGACAGTCGTCGTAAACCACGTACCGGCGGCGCAGCAAGTCATTTTACACTAAAACGTGGAGTTTGATTGACAGCCTGTCAGTCACAGATAACGGAGGCAGTGTCGTTATCTATTGGCAAATGTTTAGGAGCAGAGGATGAATTTTTATTCTCTTTTTTTTGGTCATCAAATTACAAGGACTCCTGCATCTATAATCTATCACTGACAATTTGAAAAAAAAAAAAAATCCTCCATACAACCTTTAATGACGACTTTTGACTCCTCCGCTGTGTCACTAAAGACGTGATTTGACGACCTTTAGAAACGGCTCGGTTTTTCACATTTAAACAGAGGCTGCGATAGGTCGGGGCCACTACAACCCACACTAGACTGACCAATAGGATTCAAGGATATGTTTTCGCCGATTTTTTCCGAAGTTAATCGAAGTAGTGACGATGGGAGCTTCCGGAAAAAACAACACGAAACACGAGCAATGGAAAGATCTCGCTGCGGCGCACAGTTTTAGAAATAATGAGGAGCGGACGTATTTTATGGATACGTTTAGAGAAAGTGACTTTTATAGATTTCAAAGTGATGATGAGGGTGATTATAAAGTGGAAAACAGCGATAGCGACGGACTTACAGAGAGTGAAACTTACGAACATGAGAAGCCGCTGATGCGTCTGTGTGGAGTCCTGCGATGTCCGAACAAACTATCCGGGCTTTATACTCGAGTATGAACCAAAATTGCCCTGAAATCACTCGTGAAAGTCTGTTTTCTTTTATGCAGTGATGCTCTATGGGTGTAGCCCGAGTAACATATGTATGGGTTGTTCCTAGTCGGCGTCCAGGGGGGAAAGAGTTAAAAAGTCTTTCACGAGCTGGGACCACGCCAACAATGACATAGTGCCAAGAAGTTTATTGATCATGTACAAAGCAGAGATGGCTGGGTTGAGACTCTGGGTGGGGGCTTCGTCTCAATCTACAACTGGCCCAGCCGGAACGGGACCCCACCTCGTACATTTAACCCTCTCAGGCTCAAATTATTTTTTAGTATCAGGAAAATCTGATATTTGGGGAAAATTATAATATGGGGTAGTAATATACAATTCTGACTTTTTTATCCTTTGTAAACAACAAAAAGTATTTTGCACTTCTGGCAGGTCGTTTGTGTGTAGTTGTTCTTGCACAGTTTGCATCGTCCATGTTTATCAGCATGGATGGAGAAAAGGCTCCTGAGTAATAAAAGCTCATATAATATGGATGTGGAGTAAGTAGGTACTTGGAATTTAGCTGTTGCAAATCTGCAACGTCTGCCTGGAGAGGGTTAAAAGACTTGAATTTAACTTGAAAAAACCTGTAGGAACCCTGTAATTTTACCACTTTGCGAGAGGTGAGTACCATATTTTTCGGACTATAAATCGCACTGGATTATAAGGTGCAGTATCAACAATGTTGAATTATCTTGTCTATTTTCATACACAAGGTGCACTGGACTTTTAAGGCGCATTAAGAGTAACAAAACCGACAGACAAGTCAAACTTTATTCAACTCATTCACAAAAACTCTCAACATTGTTCAGTTGTAAAACATAAAGTACAAAATAATACTTTTTCAGTTCTTTCCTCTTCCACAAGTCGATCAAATTCTCCATCTTCAGCGTCTGAGTTTTGGGTGATTTCGGTATCGAGCCCGGGTACCTCTTGTCATGATCCCAGTCAGTCTTGTCGCTGTTTATTCGCAGTTCAGAGATGATTCCAGCCTTCGTGAAAACTCGCCCATCGTCGCCTCCTTGTCTCGGTGAATGTGTTTTACTCCGCGAGGTTCTGTAATGCTCTGACAATCTGTAGTTTCCATATGTTCGTAGTTTACCAAAGTCGTAGTAAAACATTTTGACAGAAATGAAAATCAGTTCGAGGTCAGTAAACACAAACAGAAGTAATACATAAGGTGCGCTGTCGAGTTTTGAGGAAATTAAAGGATTTTAAATGCGCCTTATAGTCCGAAAAATACGGTAATAAACTCATTATTTTCACTATATTCTGAGATTGTATTTTGCGTCTCTGTGTTCGTTAGAGAAACACAAACAATATCCTACATGTGTCATTAGTCGGCTGGTGAAAATAGTGTGATTTCAATTGTGTCGGGTTTGAACACAAATATTTTAATTCCTGTCGGGCGCAGGTTGGATTTAATCATTGTTCTGTCGGACGAGGGCCAGAAAAAATCCTCCCAATCTGCATTCTAGTTGTGCTCCGCTCTCCTCTGGTGTTTCTTGGATAAATAAAGAGTAAAGAAATAAATAAACGGTTATATTTTGTGTGGTTTTTTTGGCTGCAGCGTATTCAGATGATCAGCGCCACAGATCCGGACGAGCCGCTCGAAGGACATCGCTTCTTCTTCAGTTTGGCCCAGGAGGCGGCGGGAAAGGCCAACTTCTCCGTGAGGGACAACAAAGGTACAGACACAATAAAAAAAAAAAAAAAAATATGAGCACGAAACTTCTCCTGTGAGTGATTACAAAGATTCTCTCAGTATTTGAACCAAACCTAAACCAGAACTGAAACAGAACCAAAGCTGACAGCTGCTCGTCTCCATGGTGATGACTTTAAACGTTTACATCCATATTTATTCATTACGGGTGTTTAAAAAATACAGTAATTCCTTCTGTGAACAGGGACGCCTCTCCACAGATCTGAGCTGTAATGTAGTGTAGTGCTGTGATCTGCTCGTCTTCCTGGTGACAGGTTTAGTTCATTTTCTACATGAAATAGTTCAAAGTTCAGTTCACAAATTTCAGAAATAGATCGTTCATAGTTCCAAAAAATTAACTAGTTCTGCCGCAATGTAGAGTAAATGTCACTTAGGTTAATGCTTTTCTGTGGCAAAATGTGTGTGTAAATGTGTGTGTAAATGTGTGTGTGTGTGTAAATGTGTGTGTAAATATGTGTGTAAATGTGTGTGTAAATATGTGTGTATGTGTGTATGTGTGTAATGTGTGTGTAAATGTGTGTGTAAATGTGTGTGTAAATGTGTGTGTAAATGTGTGTGTAAATGTGTGTGTAAATGTGTGTGTAAATGTGTGTGTAAATGTGTGTGTAAATGTGTGTCGTATCATAAATCTGTCCCATCACCAAATCTTCAACCAACAAACTCCACAAAGGATAAACATTCTAACACAGGAGAGTCAAACTCATTTTGTTCCGGGGGTCGTATCCAACCGACTTTGATCCAAAGTGTCCGGATCAGAAAACTCATGTCATATAAACCCCAAAAATAACAATAAGTTCAAATATTTGTGCAGAGAAACACAAATCTATTACACAAATCTTTTTTAATTGATGAACTCTTTCTTTTACAAAATATTATAATATTATGAACAACCTGAAAACTTTAAGAAAATTTAACATTTCAACACAAAGTTTTAACATTAACTTGTATAAACAGGAATAAGTCAATTTTTGTTGTAAAATCCTGCACTCGGCTCCACTTTTCTCATGTTGGACATTTTTCTGATGAGGGTGTCACGGTCAACAGTCAAAACGATCGTCCTTTAAGAGCGTTTGGAAAGAGACAAGTCTTCATTTGTGCTGCTCTGGTGGGAGGGGCCACGTACAGAGACGCTGGAGAAAATTACCAATATTTTAATAGAAAATCTAATTCAAATATTTTAGTAGAAAATCAGCTGAGGGCCTGATTAAAGGTCTTGGAGGGCCGGATCTGGCCCCCGGGCCGTATGTTTGACACCTGTGATCTAACAAGAAGAATTTATCCACAACTATCAAGAGAAGAAAGACTAAAACTTAAAGGATGAAGGTCTATATTCATCTGTGTGTTAGATTTCATCTTCATATCAAATTTTGGATCCTGATCCAACCAGGTTCACATGAACAGAGTTTCTGTCGGTTCAGTCACACGACGAGCAGCTGCAGTGTTTTCAGCATTAAAACAGTTGATCTCTGTGATAAAATAAGTTCTGATGCTAAATGAACATGAGTGAGTGGGATTCGTCTTAATGACGTGTGTGTGTTAAATCAGGTGAGTGTGTAAATGACGAGAAGAAACATCTCAAACTTCAGTAGTCGGACGTCCACCCAAACCTGATTGACAGAACAAGCCCCGCCCCCTGAGAGTCTGAAAACTGCTCCAAGACACTGACATGATACAGACAGAACACAGGCTCTTTCTGCAGGAGACATGAGCAGTAGAGCCAAGTGACACAGTCTCATAATCCCTCTATATTCTTCTTATATTCTAGTCTCGATGTTTCGATGACACATGTGGTGATGTGATGTTGTTTTTCTGCTAAATATTCATGAACTCTCATTCAGAAACCATGTTCAGGTACAACAATGGTTTAATCTATACTGTGGAACATTCTAAACAAAGCTATAACATTTCCATGGAGACAAGCAGGTGGTAGAACCTTCTCTAGAAATGTTACATAGTGCATCTTTAAACAACTAGAATAATCCCTACACTCTGTTGTCTCCTCAGATAACACGGCGTGGATCCTGACGCGCAGGAACAGCTACAGCAGCCTCCAGATGAGCTCGTACCTGGTTCCCGTGGTGATTTCGGACGGAGACTTCCCCATGCAGAGCAGCACGTGCACGCTCACGGTCAAAGTGTGCACGTGCGACCGCGACGGGAACATGAAGCTGTGCAACGCCGAGGCGCTGACGGCGAGGGCGGGGCTCAGCACGGGCGCGCTCGTCGCCATCCTGCTCTGCGTCATCATCCTGCTCAGTGAGTCTAACAAACAAACAAACAAACAAACAAACAAACAAACAAACAAACAAATAAATAAACAAACAAACAAACAAACAAATAAATAAACAAACAAATAAATAAAAAATAAACAAATAAACAAACTAATAAATAAACACTCAGGACACGTTCACACTGCAGGGATTAATGCTCAGTGCAGAGTTTTTGTTTTTTTGTGTGAAATCTGATTATTTGTGAAATTGTTATTTATAATTTATTTATTATTTATTTATTTGTTTATTATTATTTATTTATTTATTATTACTCTCACCAAAATAACTGAGCGAAGATGCCGAACTGTTGCACCTTATATGGACTAAACCAGGACTGAACTAGATCTAAACCAGGACTAAAACAGGTCTAAACCAGATCTAAACTGGGACTAAACCAAGACTAAACCAGAACTAAACCAGGTCTAAATCAGGTCTAAATGAGGATTGAACTAGATCTAAACCAGGTCTAAACCAGGACCAAACCGAGGACTGAATCAGACGGACTGAACCAGGTCTAAACCAGGTCTAAACTAGGTCTAAATCAGGACTAAACCAGGACTAAACTGGGACTAAACCAAGACTGAACTAGATCTAAACCAGGACTGAAATAGGACTAAACCAGGTCTAAACCAGATCTAAACCAGGTCTAAACCAGGACTAAACCAGGTCTAAACCAGGTCTAAACCAGGTCTAAACCAGGACTAAACCAGGTCTAAACCAGGACTAAATCAGGTCTAAACCAGGACTGAACCAAGACTGAACTAGATCTAAACCAGGACTGAAATAGGACTAAACCAGGTTTAAACCAGATCTAAACTGGGACTAAACCAGAACTAAACCAGGTCTAAACCAGAAAATCTAAACCAGGTCTAAACCAGGACTAAACCAGGACTAAACTAGGATCTAAACCAGGATTAAACCAGAGCTGAAATAGGACTAAACCAGGACTAAACCAGAACTAAACCAGGACTAAACTAGATCTAAACCAGGACTAAACCAGGACTGAATCAGGTACCGGAGTCAGAACCTGTCCAACTTATTTATTTTAAAGAGACTGAGGAGGAGGACGAGGTTTTTGGTCGTGGAGTTTGTTTTTCGCAGTAGAAAAGAAACGTCCGGACGGTTGTGGTTTTTTCTTCCGGTTTCCGACTGGTTCAGCCCAGATGTAAAACACTGGTCTTTATATTTAGAACGTATTAAAACGAGATGAACCGGAGCCTGAACCCGAGGACGTCCGGGGCTCCTGCGGCAGGTGCGGCAGGTGCGGCAGGTGCTAAAGACGGTTTGTGTTTGAGTTTAATCAGATTGTTGTTCTTCCTGTGGGCGGATCGTTCAGACTCCGACCAAAACACAAAGACTAATGTGATCAGAGATGGACAGATACAACACATAGAGAGAAAGAGAGAAAGAGAGAGAGGAGAGAGGGAGGAGAAGAGGAGAGAGGAGCAGAGGGGGAAAAAAGGAGATGGAAGAGAAAGGGGGAGGGAGAAAGAGGAAGGAGGGAGAGGAGGGGAAAAACAAAAAGAGAAAAGGAGGGAGGGTTAGGAATGAGAGAAAAAGAAAGAGGGGTGAGGGAGTGGTTAGAGGGAGAGAGGGAGGGATGGAGGACAACGGGACCGAGAGGAGGGAGGGAGAGAGATGGAGGGAAAAAAGGAGATGGGGAGGGAGGCAGAGAGGGAGGAGAAGGAGGAGGGGGAGGAAAACAAAGTCAGAGGGTGAGACTGAGGATTAGGAAAGAGAGAGAGAGAGAAAGAAAGAAAGAGGGGTGAAGAAGTGGCCAGAGGGAGAGAGAGAAGAGAGGCGAGGAGATAGAGGAGGGAGTGAGGAGAGAGGAAGAGGGAAGAGAGGGAAGAAAGGAGGGAGGGAGGGAGAGAGAGAGGAGGGGGAGGAAAACAAAAAGCGAGAGGGTGAGAATGAGGGGTGAAGGAGAGTGGCGGGAGGGGAGGAGAGAGGGAGGCAGAGAGAAAGAAAGGAGAGAGAGGAGGGAGAGGAGGGAGAGGAGAGGGAGGAAAAGAGGGAGGGAGGCGGGAGAGAGAGAGAGAGAGAAGAGGGTTAGAAACACAGAGTGAGAGGGTGAGAATGAGGGTTTGGAAAGAGAGAGAAAGAGAGAGGGGTGAAGGAGTGACCAGAGGGAGAGAGGGAAAACAGGAGAGGAGAGAGGGAAGGAGAAGAGGGAGGGAAGGAGGAGAGAGTGAGAGGGAAAGAGAGAGAACAAAAAGAGGGGTGAGGGAGCGGCCACATTAAAGATGGAAGGAGAGGAGAGGAGAAGAGAGTGATCAGGGACAGAGACGAAGGGAGAGAAAGAAGAGGACAGAGAGTGAAAGGTTGTATAGAGGATTTTTTAAGGGAAGAGAAATAGAGCGACACCACCTTCCTCCTCCACAGCCTCAGTAGAAACACCTCCTCCCGCCTCTTTACTCCAGATCACAGGTGTCAAACATAAGGCCCGGGGGCCAGATCCGGCCCTCCAAGACCTTTAATGTGGCCCTTGGCTGATTTTCTACTAAAATATTTTAATTATATTTTCTTTTAAAATCTTGTTAATTTTCTGTGGTGTTTATCACAGCAGCGTCTCCAGCGTCTCTGTACGTGGCCCCTCCCACCAGAGCAGCACAAATGAAGACTTGTCTCTTTCCAAACGCTCTTAAAGGACGATCGTTTTGACTGTTGACCGTGACACCCTCATCAGAAAAATGTCCAACATGAGAAAAGTGGAGCCGAGTGCAGGATTTTACAAAAAAATGGAATTTAATTTCAAACAAGTTCATGTTAAAACATTGTGTTGAAATTGTATTTTTCTTAAAGTTTCAGGTTGTTCATAATATTATAATATTTTGTAAAAGAAAGAGTTCATCAATTAAAAAAGATTTCTGTAATAGATTTGTGTTTCTCTGCACAAATATTTGAATTTATTGCTATTTTTGGGGTTTATATGACATGAGTTTTCTGATCCGGACACTTTGGGATCAAAATAGGTTGGATACGACCCTTGGACCAAAATGAGTTTGACACTCCTGATCTAGCGAGTTCAGAATCACTGTTGAAGTTTCCTGTCTAGAAATAATTTAGTGACCGACACGTCTTCAGTTTTTAGACCCTTCGTTTGCTTCAGTCGCGCCATCGCTGGAAGGAATCTCCAAGAATCACCTGAGTTTGGTTTTGCTCCTTTTCTCCTTCTCTTCTTCTTTCAGCGACCTCAAAAACGGACTTTCTTTTGCGGCGAACTGGTCGTGGATTCTCGTCCGCCGTCGCAACAAACTTTGTGCGAATTGCGTGGAAGCGACAGTTTGAAAAAGCCTCTAAGAACCGCTGCATAAACCACGTAATCTCTGCGCGCCGTGAGTCGATTACACTAGACACGTAGGGAGTTTCATTGACAACAGCCAATAGAAAATGAGGCAGCCTCGTTTTCTATTGGCTGATGTTTATCTGGTCTCACTACGTCAACAGTTGATAGATTTTCATTCTTTTTTTTTTTGGTCATCATAATTACAAAGCTGCTGCGTCTCTGTAATGGTGTTTTAAATTTTCATTGACAATTTGAAACTGAAAAAAAAATCCTCCATACGACCTTGAAGGGAAAAGAGAGGGAGGGGATAATGAGAGAGAGAAAGAGAAGATGAGAGCAAAAAATACTGAAACAAGAGAAAGAAAAGAGAATGAAGATGGATGAGAGAGAAACAGACAGATAATTTGAGTAACAGATCTTCAGACAGAGCAGTTCCTCCAGTTAACGTCACCACAAAACTCCATTCGATACGTGATTTTAAGTACTGTTTTTGTCGTTTTTTCGCAGTGATCGTGGTTCTTTTCGCCGCCCTGAGGAGACAGCGGAAGAAGGAGCCGCTGATCATCTCGAAGGAGGACGTGCGGGACAACGTGGTGAGCTACAACGACGAGGGCGGCGGCGAGGAGGACACCCAGGCCTTCGACATCGGGACGCTGCGCAACCCGGAGGCCATCGAGGACGGCAAGCAGCGGCGCGACATCATCCCCGAGACCTACTACAACCCGCCCGTCCGCCGCGCCGTCCTCGCCCCGCCGCGGGACAACAACGGCGACGTGCGGGACTTCATCAACCAGCGCCTGCAGGACAACGACACCGACCCCACGGCGCCGCCTTACGACTCCCTGGCGACGTACGCCTACGAGGGCAACGGCTCCGTGGCGGAATCCCTCAGTTCTTTAGAATCGGTAACCACGGACGGCGATCAGGACTACAACTACCTGAGCGAGTGGGGACCGAGGTTTAAGAAACTCGCCGACATGTACGGAGGGGACGACAGCGACCGGGAATCGTAACGAAAATCCGGGAGAAGTTCGCGGGACTTCGCGGCGGAAAAAACGACGAAGAAGAGAGATGTTTGGGTTTTTTTTTTCGAAGTGCTCTTCTGTGAGGTGGCGGTTGTAGACTCGGTGTGCTGAAGGTGCGTCGTGTAACTTTGCGGGTGGTGCGTCCGTTGATGTTTTTCGTCGTGGAAATGTTGTCACTCAGTTCGGTTTGGTTTCCGTGGAGACGAACGCAAATGCCGTGGAACATTCCAGACAAAGCTACAAATCAGAATACCCGTTTTTCGAGGTGTTTCTGAGCTACAAAACCACCTGCGGTCGAAGAAATGCGACGTCGAACTGTTTAACGTCACACTACGGAACATCCCGAGCAGAGCGATGACGCATCCGCCGAAAAACGCAGGGACCCGCAACCAAAAAGCTACGCCGCGCACCTTTAAAAATCAGTGTTATAGTTGCGTTTTTTTTTTTCATGAAGGACGACGCGGAAACGAGACATTTTCCGGGGTTTATTTTGTGTCAGAAAAACGTCGGCGGACTCCAGGAGCTGAACGTTGCATCTGTGTCGATTTGGATTTTCGCTCCGTTGCCGCGAACGAACGGCAGACGGCGGGAAAAGTTTTTTTTTTTTTTGTAAAAGCAAACAAGAATACGCCTGTGTATTTTTCAGTGTTCCTGGGACTAAAATTAAAGCTGCGTATCGTGAACTAGCCTGTGTCCGTACGGTAAACTGACGAATACACTGTACAGTTGTTTATTTTTTAAAAAGGACTTTCTATGGTTTGAATCATCCTCGTGTTTTTGTGCCGTCGAGCGAGACACCTCCACTTTTCGACGTAACTTGAGGTTCACGAAGGCTGGGTCAGCGGTGGTTGTGACTGGTTGGGACTAAGCTCGGTTATAACAGGAAATTCATGTTCATTTGACCCAATTTTCGGCGAAAAATCGAACCCACAACCTTCTTATGAAGAGGATTAGACAGGCTAACCACTCTGCCACAGTCATTTGTCTTCTATAGAACATAAACAGCTTTGTTATAATGTTGTTTCCTGGAGTTTTTGTTTTGTTTCATTCACAAATCCTGAAAATTTCGGCCGAGTTCTTCTCCTGTGGTGATAAACAAATGCTCCACTGTGTTTTTAAACTCCACACACTTTCACTCGAATCATTTGGATCATTTCAGGCCCTGGAATTGCCAATTTCTGCCGAATAAACGTCAATATATATAATAAATGTAGTGTATTTTTCAGACCGTAAGTCGCACCAGCCAAAAAATGTGTAATGAAGACGAAAAAAACATATTTAAGTCGCACTTTTTGGCGGAAATGTATTTTATAAAATCAAGACAAGGAACTGACAATTTCATCTTAAAACCAGGAGTAAACCAGGACCAAAACAAAACCAGGACTCAACCAGGACCAAAGCAGAATCAGGACTAAACCAGGACTAAACCAGGACTGAATCACGACTGAATCACGACTGAATAAGGTCTACACCAGGTCTAAACCAGGTCTACACCAGGTCTAAACCAGGACTAAATCAGGACTGAATCAGGTCTACACCAGGTCTAAACCAGGACTAAATCAGGACTGAAGCAGGGCCAAAACAAAACCAGGTCTAAACCAGGACCAAACCAGGACTGAATCAGGACTGAACTAGGACTAAAACAAAACCAGGACTAAACCAGGACTCAGCCAGGACCAAAGCAGAACCAGGACTAAACCAGGACTGAATCAGGACTGAATCAGGTCTAAACCAGGTCTAAACCAGGACTAAATCAGGACTGAATCTGGACCAAAACAAAACCAGGACTAAACCAGGACTCAACCAGGTCTAAACCAGGACTGAATCAGGACTGAACTAGGACCAGAACTAAACCAGGACTCAACCAGGACCAAAGCAGCACTAGGAATAACCAGGTCTAAACCAGGTCTAAAACCAGGACTCAACCAGGACCAAACAAGGACCAAGGATGTAAACAGACACACGTGAGGAACTACTCCGGCCTTTTTACTTTTAAAGAACACCTCAAACTGGATTCACAGCGCGGTTTCGTGGACTAGGGGTCATTATTTACGAGGGAATAATTCTCTGGATAATGTGGATGTGACGCTGCAGTTTAAATGTACCACGAGAAATAAAATCTTCTCAATATTTTCGCTATTTCCTGAGTTTGTATGTTGCGTCTCCGTGTCCGTCGCTCCGTTTTATCGGCTGTTTCTGTAATGTTTAAAATTTTAAATCGCACACAAAGACACAAAGTCGAGTTACGCCTTCGAGGAAAAGCAAATCGCAGCCAAAGTCCGGCAATGAGAATGAAACAAAACACAACTCCAGGTCTGTTTTTGAGGCCGTAACAACATTATAACACGACTTAAAGCTCACGAGAGTCAAATTTGAGTAAAATCGGACCTTAAAACCACAACCTTTAAACCTTTTTTGTACCGGAGTTTAAACCGACGATTCACAACCACCTCGTCGAAACCCTACCTCAAAATCTCAACTCATTTTCACATTTTCAAATCGCTGAAACCAAGTTCTGTTCTCATTTCTGTGTCAGCTGGACCCCAAACACCAAATGCTTCCTTAAGACCTGAATGTTTAGCAAATCCTGTAATAAAATAAAGTGTTTTTTTTTTTTTTTTTTGAGGGTACGCTGATCAAAAATGGCCAAAATTTTAGTTCAGGCTGAGAGGAAAATACTGGATCCGCTCGACCTCCCGTAAACCTTCACCGTGTGGATTTGATGGCACCGTTACCGCGGGAATCTGTTATTAATTCTGATTTTATTTGACAAAATGGCCCGTTTTATGCGAGTCCAGATTGAAAAGCAAAAAGAGGAAATGAAAGCTTTGAAGCACTATCGTAATTTAAGATAATGGCTTTTTTCTTTTTTTTAGCTGTTTTTATTCATTTTGATTTAAAGTGTTTTACTTTTGAAGAATCAGAAAGTGCGCTGTTGGCATGCAAGGTTTTGTAGGTAGGACCATCGCGAATCACAAAATAACACGTAAACATTCACTACAAGCAAGGTGGGGTGAAGTGTCTTGCCCAAGGACACAACAGAAGTCAACAAAAACTGCAACACCAACATCTCTGCTGTTATTAAACCGTGACTGACAAAAATTAGGACTTAAAATCTTTTACTGAAACCTGATTTTAACCGTTTTAAAAACGTGAAAATCTGAAGTTTGCGGCGGTTCAAAGTTATTCTCCGCCAGTGTTGATGAGTAACAGATTACAAGTACCAGAGTTAAGTAATCAGAGTACAAATGATGAGTAACTGTATTCAGTTACAGTTACTGTTTCAGTGAGTGGTAATTAGATTACAGTTACTTTATTGAAATAAATGGATTTTCCTGTTTTCACATTTTGGGCTAAACCAGGACTAAATCAGGACTAAACCAGGACTAAACCCAGGACTTTAAACCTAGGACTAAAACCAGGACTAAACCAGGTCTAAACCAGGACTAAAACCGGGACTAAACCGGGACTAAACCCAGGACTAAACCAGGTCTAAACCAGGACTAAAACCGGGACTAAACCGGGACTAAATCCAGGACTAAACCAGGACTAAAACCGGGACTAAACCGGGACTAAACCCGGGACTAAACCCAGGGCTCAAACCAGGTCTAAATCAGGACTAAACCAGGACTAAACCAAGACTAAACCAGGACTAAACCAGGACCAAACCAGGACTAAACCCAGGACTTAAACCAGGTCTATACCAGGTCTAAATCAGGACTAAAACCAGGGACTAAACCAGGACTAAACCCAGGACTAAACCCAGGACTTAAACCTAGGACTAAAACCAGGACCAAACCAGGACTAAACCAGTTCTAAATCAGGACTAAAACCGGGACTAAACCCAGGACTAAACCAGGTCTAAACCAGGACTAAAACCGGGACTAAACCGGGACTAAACCCGGGACTAAACCCAGGGCTCAAACCAGGTCTAAACCAGGACTAAACCAGGACTAAAACTGGATTAAATCAGCCGTGCCGCGCGGACCATGTCTCCTCATCTTCTTCTATCAATAATATTTTTTTATTTGTTCAGTAAAATCTGGTCTTTTTTATTTTCTTTTATCAGACAAAACTTCTTATGTGACGATTTCCTCGTCTTTGCTTCTCTACAACAAATCAAGTAATCCAAAGTAATCAGATTACGTTACTCACTTTAAGTAATTTAATGGATTACGTTACAAACTACATGTTGGCGTATGTAATCTGTAATCTGTAGGGGATTACATTTTAAAAGTAACTTCCCAACACTTCTCACAGACTGTGGAAGAGGACGGTTTTGTACAGTTTTCACAAGACGAGACACGAGATCGGCTTCACGAGAACGAGATTTTAACGTAATTCCTAATCTAAACATTTCACGATTCAATTTTCAATATTTGGCCTCGCAGTTTTTTATTTATATTATTTCATAGTTTTTGTTCTTTTTTTTGTTATTTTTTTTATTCTAGTTTTGCATTTTTGGAGCAGTAAAAGACGTAACTCGCCAACACGTGACACTTTTTTATGGAGTGAGAACGTTTTCAGAAATATTTATGTACATAAATTTGGGCATATTTGTCTTTAGTTGAGCATAAAATAAAAATTCGTAAACTCTCGAACGAGTCCAGTCGTACGTGTGAATTTTATCCGTCAGAACACAAATTGAAAAGTTACAACGTCAACAGTTACAATCACAAACTGAAAATTTACGGTTACGCTTTCTTCAGTATGAATATGAATTCACGAGTTGTTTTAGTCCTGGGATCAGTCTTGGTTTAGTCCTGGTTTAGTCCTTGGTTTAGTCCTGGTTTAGACCTGGTTTTGTCCTGGTTTAGTCCTGGTTCTCAGTCCTGGTTCAGTCCAGGTTTAGACCTGATTTAGTCCTGGTTTAGTCCTGTTTTAGTCCTGGTTCAGTTCGTATGCGGTGCAAAAGTGAATTCATGTTCGTACTGATGAAAGCGTAATCGTAAATTTTCATTTCGTGATTGTAATTCTTGACTTCGTAA